TCTCTCTCTCTCTCTCTCTCTCTCTCTCTCTCTCTCTCTCTCTCTCTCTCTCTCTCTCTCTTCGTCCGCTTACATATTAATACATTGTGCGGAGGGTATTTATTTGATGACGTGCTGTGAAGCAGCGTGCGCAATGGCGGACGCGATTAAAAGTCTACTTTCGTTTGTGCGGTTTAACGGGAACGATTGGGGGACACGCGAGGACGCCCGTGAGGGACACGAGAACGCGAAAATACGGATGCTACAAAGTCCGCAGTGTGTAGACGATGTACCTTAGAAACGTAGCGAACAGAGAGTTTGAGCATTACATTAAATTATATGAATATAAATGCATATATAAATAAGGTATGTGTATGCGTGTATGTGTATGCGCGTGCAGGGTATTCTCGTCGTCGCCGCGCTCGCCGCCGAAGGGGCGGCTTTTCCCAGGAATAATTTCGCGATGGGTATCTCAACATGGAAATACCGAGGCCTGCCATACACATTTCTTTTTTAAATAGGGGGGAAAACGATTGTAAAGTAAACGACCGATCGCTGAAGTTGGAGTCAGTTCTCTCGACGCTTCCCGTTTAAGAAGCGCGACGTGGCTTCGCGTATGCTTAAGATCCTCGAATCATTTGAAGAGTCCATCGAGAAGCGACGCGATAACGGCGGGGTCTGCCCTGTATAAACGTACACATATATGTGATATATATATCTTATATACAGAGTGAGACGTCTAATTTTGCGACCTAGACGATCTCTGGTTGTTCAAGGCACCTTTCGATAACCGCAGAGATAAACTGAGTCACGAAGTCGAGAGTTGCCCCGCCCTGTATATTTTATATATGTACGTCTCATTACATATATCTTGCAGTTGAAATGGATTTAATCAACTTTATTGTGTATGCGTTATAGGTGGACGAAATAAAATCTGTATTTTTTGGCTGGCATCGTTTTTATCTAATGTACCTCCAATGCCACAATTTGCCAGCGACCTCCTCCTCCCGTCGTTCCCGCGGCCCCGCCGTCTCGGCGCGAGACGCCGCGAAGGATAATCTCGGTCAAATTAACTTTTCAAACGGCATATAATAACGAATTAACCATTCTCTATTTACGTTGCCAGAATAACACTGATGAATCAATCGTTCAAGTTGATCGGAGCCGAAAGGTCAACTTAAGAACGTACGCGAGGTGAAGCGGGGGGGAGTGCGCGACGCGTTTGTCGATTAATTTAATTTTCATAATTAAGTTTCGATAATTAAATTCCGCGTGGTGTGAGAACGCAATTCGCGCTGCGGTATTTCGTGCATCGCGCGTACGCCTGAATATTTAAGCACGCGAGAGACTTTAGAGCAGGAGATGCACGTAGAGGAAGAAAAAACAGTGCGGGAATCGCGGGGTTGGAAAGGAGGGGGTGGGAACGGGGTAGTTAGTGGGAGCGCGGGGCGCCCGCTCCGTCCGAGTTCAGTCCGACGGTCCGCGTGTCACTGTGAACTTGGAGAACGGATATCTTTCCGCGTATCGCGTATCCGTAACTCGGCCGGCCCGTACCCCTGAGATCGCAACGCTAGAACGTCGCCGAAACGACGTAGATCGAATTTCGCACGGCGCGTCGAGCACGTCATGTGCACGTCCCGTTCTCCCGAGTCCAACCGCCCGATCGGAAGTGAAGTTCGAAGAAACGCGGCGAGTTTGTTGCGCGAGGTTGCTGCGAGTTTCGATCGGTGCGTCCGGTCGTCTCTGAAAATCCACGTAAGTGCCCATATGACTTACGTAAAAACGTACGGCCGTGGACCGCTGGCTTCATCTCGGCGAAAGATTTTGCGAATTTGGACAAGTCTCCTCTCGTCCGCAGATATTTTCAGTTTCTTCCGGCTTTGAAAGGTATCAAGCCGATAATTACTTCAAATGGAATTTAACAAAAATCTTTCGCAATAACGTGACAAAAAAGTTCATTTCACCACATGAGACTCGGTCTCGAACCGCGAACAACTTTTTAACGCTGCGAATTATTGTTCACCGACTTATCGCGAAAAGCCACTGCGAAAGTGTTTGAATATATTTTCATGTAAAAGTTTCGCGTGAACGCCAAGTGGCAAAGACGCTTTTCGTAACATCTTGCATAGATGTACAGGGTGTTGCAGAGGCATACAGGGCAGTATTACGCTTATTCGTACAGGCACACATGGTCGTTCGCAACTGCGTAGGCTTCGGTGCGGTAGTAACAACAGTAAATTTGCCCAAGTGGAACATGAAGTCATGACGAAGTAAAAATGACATCATATTAATTATTAAAAGTCATATGGCGAGAGCAAATTAATCAAATTATGATTTTGAAATGCGCGCCTGTGTGACTAAGCAATCCATCATACTGCCCTGTATGTCTCTGCAACACCCTGCACACTGGAGAACTTTCTCTTAAAACTTACCCTGAAAATTATGTAATCGCGGGACAACATCCCAGATAGCATGCGTGTCTAAAAGACATCTTCAAGACGGGTTTAAGTCGTCTTTTAGACATGTACGTCTAAAAAGTGTCTTAAAGATATCTTTATGACATGCATTGCTATCTGAGATGGCATTTTGAAGACCTTTATGAGAGGTTTTAGAAATTTTACCATTTTACTAGTAAAATGTATAGTAAAATTTCACAAAACTCTCACATATAGAATTCTTCGAAATGCCGCGTTGTCCCACGACTGCACGATTTTCAGGGTAAACTTTAAGAGTAAAGTTCTCCCCGTGTAGAGTTACATGTAAAATATATACGAAGTTTACGGGAAGAAAGATGTGAGCAATGATCCCCGGGCGATAAATCGTGGCCTTTGAAGGCGCGCGGCGTTGCGATGGCGCGATTCGCAAGCTAATCGCAGCTTTCCCGTGCAATTTCAGCGGCGCGGCGAGCTGGGCGAGGAGCCGACGCTCACCCGGTGAGAGCTGGTGCCGTGCACTCTCGTCGCTCGATCGACATCCCCGTGCCCGGGGGGCGCAAAGGAACGACGGTCGGCCTCGACGCGGGCCCAGGATTTAGGGGCCGGACGTACGGCGGGACCCGGCAAATGTGGCTCTGTGCACGGTGAGCCAGGGTTACGGGGGCCGTGCGGCCCGCGGGGCCCGTGCTGGTGGTGGTGTTGGTGCTGGTGGCGGCGGTGGTGGTGGTGGTGGTGGCGGTGGCGGCGGCGGCGGGGGTGGTGGTAGGTCGCGCGGCGACGCGGGCGCGCGGCTGCCCTTGAGCCCCCGCAATTTATGCGCCAGCGGGGCGACGGACGCGCGCGGGGGGCTGCACGGCGCGACCGTGGCTACCAGCGGTATCGGGGGCACGGAGGAGGCCGCCGGTCCCGGGCTACCGGACGAGCCGATGGTGCACGTGGAGCGATCGGCGCACCAGGGCACATGGATATGCTGCGTGCCCTGTTACTGGCTACGGAGGAGCAAGGCCGTGCACAAGGCGCTGCTCACCTTCGCTATGATGCTGGTCACCAGCCTGCTGGTCACCAGCCCGGTGCTCTTCCTTATCTCGACCTTGCCGGAGGCCGAGCAGCCGCGCAAATGTGCGCCATTGGTGGGTGCCCCTCCGTTTTTAACGATCGTCTCTCCGATTCGCGTTGTCCGTCAGCGGCAAAACCGGGGTGGAAAGAGCGCGGTCCCGTGGACGCCGGACGGTTTCAGGGATTAAGTCCGGGATTACCATCGGTGAGATCGGTTTCCGATGCCGGAGGAACGTACGGGGAAGAAAGAATTCTGCGCTCTCGTCCCGTTTCACTTGTGCGTCAATAGGTGCAACGTCACCGCTGGCTTTTTCGTAGCGACCGGAGATTCGCGTTCGACGAAATTATACCGAGATTTTTGTCTTCCAATTCTATTCCGTTTTCAAATAAGAGCCTGCTATTCGATATACAAGTCGCACCGCTCGCGGGACGTCTGTATTCTTCGTCCGAACTTTTCTTGGAAGAGAAACGCAGCGTTGTTTTGCGCAAAACATAGGGGCCTGAAACAGAAAGATTCTCGTAACCGTTTACAATTCCGTCGTAAGTCAGTGTCAAAAGTCAACGCGCAAAGAATTGTCGTAGACGTATGTCGCATCCCTCGCATTGCGTCGCGATGCGACATACGACAATTCTTGGTGCGTTGACTTTCACTACTGACTCGAAAACTTTTCTATCCCGCAGCCAATCATCGCGCTTAAAAAATTTGTCGTACGACAAATGTAACATTAGCCTGAGCAGAAAGATTGTCGTAACCGTTTACGATTCTGTCGTAAGACTTAAGTTGGCGTCGGGAGTCAACGCATAAAGAATTATCGTAGATGTATGTCGCATTCATCGCATCGCAATCGATAATTCTTTGTGCGTCGACTTCCGACACTAACTGAAGTCGTACGACAAAATTGTATGGTAAACGGTTACGACAATCTTTCTACTCGGGCCCTAAGACTTGAATTAGTATCGCGAGTCAATGCACAAAGAATTGTCGTAGACGTATGTCGCATCTTATGACACCGACTTACGGCTTACGACGGAGTCGTAACCGATTGAGACGATCTTTTCGCTCAGGCCCTTACATGCGAAACTACTTTGCGTTCGAAATTGCCCATCCTTCGCACTTATTTGCGTACGTGACATCGTCACGCGCGTGAAAATAGAAGGCGAACGCGTGTCGCACGAGAGCCTGTTGAGAGATTAGAGGCGTAAGTCGTCACCGATATTGCCGGGGTGACGCGTGCCGCAAACGCAATCGCGAACGCACAGGTGCCACGCTTCGCAAAACGTGCGAAGCGTGTGCGACGTGACGCGAATGAATAATCGTCTTATTTATGCAGCACGGTAGATTAGTAGTTGCCCGAAGTAATTTATATCGATCGTAGCGTTTAACTTGAAAGTAAGGAAGGTGGTGAAAAGTTTAGCGTTTAGCGACAGGCGCGCCTGGGGATTCCCCGTTATCCAGCGACTTGTCCTCGCGCGCGGCGAATTTGCCTCGTTCTCCAACGAGAACGAACGGGGAACGGTCACAAAACTGAAAACGGAAGGAAGAGACCCGCGAGACTTGAGTCTCGCAAATCCGTCGTTTCCTTACGCGCGCGTGAAATTGCGAAATCGAACGTCGAAAGCCGTGCGCTTACGATAATTTGACGATTACTCGAAGTGATACACGTGTGCCGATATATAGGTACGCTAGCGCGAAGCGAAGCCGTATCGGCAGGTAAGGTTTCGAGGCGAATAGAAGGCTCATCCTCGGCTGAGGTCAGGGCTTTACCCCTTATCCTGACCTTTGTACCTATACATTCCTCTAGATCACGTTTGAACGTTTCAACCGAAGGGTAAACCGCTGAGGGCATTGTGGACTGAACAGATTTGCGACATTACTAGATGTTACTTATAGACATTTTGTGGACATTAGTGGGTGTTATTTGGCCTTGCTTGGCAGTATGAAGAATCTAAAAAGATAAAAGAAGATAAAGTAAGATAATAAGATAAAGTAGTGCATTAGTAGACGTTAGTGTGCATGATTTTGGTCAGTAGTTTACCCCTCGGTTTCAACATTAGATCGCGAACTTTGCTCGAACATGTTACTGCAATAAACATTTAAAATACTATCTTTGTCTAACGAAGAAACGTCGGCTTCGAAAGAAGTCGTAATCTGGCAAAATCGTACTTATTTTCGACATGTAACAACTTATTTGTTATTAATTTATTATTATTTTCTCGCGCATCTGTAACTGTCATGAAAATATTCAAAGAAATTAATCATTTACGAAATAACAGGAGTATCTCGCTCTTTCTCAGGCACTCGTATGTCAAATTGAAACCTGGACATTCGAGGAGCGAGAAATATAGGCATCTTGTCTCGGTGAAAGACTGAAAAATCCGTTAAAGCACAGCTAACGACTGCGATTTCAGGATGAAGCTTGCGTTAGAGAGAGAGACGGACCCGAGGGCGTTTGCGACACGGACGTTTGCGTGGAGGCCTCGAAGAGAATCCTAACATCCATGAAACGTGGCGTCGATCCTTGCAAGGACTTTTACAAGTTCGCCTGCGGCGGTTTCCGCGATCAGCAGCCCTATCAGCCGAGCGCGAGCTTCAATATACTCGAGGCGCAGATCGACGAGCGTATACACAGTGAGCGTTTCGCACGATTCTCGACTTACTTTCTCGGCTTCCCACCTATTTCTAATTTATGAAAACTTTAAGCGCAATAACTTCGCAGGTCTCGGTCGCCAATTTCGACAATTTCAATTGCTTTGTCGAAGCGAACCAAATACGCGTCCCACGAGATAAAAATGTTTCACTTTTTTTCCCTCGCATTCTCTTCTCAGCGAGATTTTATTATTTACTTTTTACATCATTAAAACGAAATATACTATTTGTCCGGTCAAATTTCCGCGTGGATTCAAATGGCACAGTGGCTTGCAATTAAGTAATTACAATATTAAAAAACACGCAACAGAGAAACAACAAATCCACGCGTGATTTAAGAAGGTGTAATTAAAACAAAAAAGATCTCAAGTAGAACAAGAAGTCGTGTCGAAGTCAAAGTGACATCAAATGCTCGTGTATGCTCAACTTAACGCATCAATTGTTTTGTATATACGCGGTTTGCGAACACTTGAACTTGGCCTACTTCCGACAATCATAATTGTTAGAACTTAAAATATTCTAAAGGAAGGAGAGAATGCCAATGTGAGCCACAAAATGAACAGACCAAGGTTCTCACAGTATGGTTCTTCAATTTCTATTCAATTTAAACGTTTCGACCCTTATTCGGGTCTTCTTCAGTAACTCGTAATCGAAAATATAAAGTTCGGCGCAACATCGAAATCAAACTTCTAATTTTGACAATCGGTAAATCTCTAAATGATGCCTGACTTCAGTCTGAAGTCAGTTAAGCGGCGCCGTCATGGACTCATCTCTGGTCGAGTCAATCGGTCCTCTTTATGTCAGGCATCATTTAGAGATTTACCGATTGTCAAAATTAGAAGTTTGATTTCGATGTTGCGCCGAACTTTATATTTTCGATTACGAGTTACTGAAGAAGACCCGAATAAGGGTCGAAACGTTTAAATTGAATAGAAATTGAAGAACCATACTGTGAGAACCTTGGTCTGTTCATTTTGTGGCTCACATTGGCATTCTCTCCTTCCTTTATAATTTTCTTTTCGGGAGCCTCCACAACAATTCGGAATATTTAAAATATTCTTTTTAACAAAAATTGTACAATTATAATAAGAATATGAATTGTGTGACAAAGTGCGATACTCAATATCTTGTAAGATTTGTATTCTTGTGCTTTTATTTCGTATTTTGTGAATGGAAAGTGAAGACCGTCAATGTTTCAAGAACCAAATATTTTCACAAAATATATTTAATAATACCTGTGAGATTTTCACCATTTCGCGTGCACGAGCGATTTGCATTCTCTCGGCGAAAGTCAAAATGAAGTCGTAAAAGAGGCAAAGTATGTTTCATTAAAAGTGTTAAATTACTGATACTGTATCTTGACCTTCTAGAAATGACTTTTTCGATATCATCTTGACCTCTGAATGACTTTTTGTTTTACCTGGGATCTGTTTTGCAGAAATAAGATTAGAAGAGTCAACTTTTCATTAAAGAAAACTCGAGTTAAACCAAACGAATGATTTCATTGCTGCTATACTATAGTGCAATGAAATTGGAGTGGTCTACGTGGGACAATTTAACTCCGCACTTTGTAGACTTATTTTTACACAATTTTACACAGAGATTCGTTTACAATTCTTCTACATTACATTCGACGATCCTGAAGAGCGTATTGAATATCGAGGCATTGTGCGACGATAACGACGGTATCTCGGCAATTCTATCGATTTTCTTTGTCCTCTTTTCGTCGCGATTATTGCGATCCTCGTGCCGACGGTGATCGAGGAAAGAGAGGGGGAAAAGGGGATGGGAAAGCGGATTTGCGGGTGAGAGACGGGTGTAATTGGCGACATATTAATCTTCAATGGCAGAGATTCAAAGGGGAGAGCCTGGACAGTGAACACGACCTCAATTTCGTAAGAATCTATCGTGGACACGACAGCCAGTGGTGATGGTGGTGGTAGCGGCGACGGTGGTGGTGGTGTCGCCGGCGCGACTGGCGCCGGGCGACTGGCACCAACTATGCTCGCGTATGGATCGCCAGGATAATATAAGTCGGTTCGGGGATCGAAACTTAAAGGGGAGATGGATAAACATCGGCTATACGATGATACGAGAAACGATGTCAGGACGATGACGGAATCGAGAGCTCGCGGGGTCTCGTTGCGCGGGGGATGAACGCGAGGGATGAATGCGTGACGCACGGACCGCACGTGGTCCCGAGTTCCCCGGAAGTTCTCAACCTGCGCACGCCCTCGCGTCCCCCGGAAGATCCGAGGAAACGAGGAAAGGAGTGTTCCGCCCGATGAAAAGTTATTGGACTCCGATGCGAGGTGAAATCGAACGGCCGACTTGCCGTCACTATAAATAATGCACATTAATCGATACACGTACGTGCCACACGTACGTGTGTTACGCCGGTTGCTTACCGCTCGGAGCGTAGCGCCTCTCTAAAACCCTCTCTCGCTTTTACGCAACCTTCGAAACGCTTATTCGCGTGATTCAAGGTCGGCGAATTACTCCCGCCTCTAATCAGATCATCTTGCGAGATCTTGAGCCACTGCGCCCTTAGTTTAGTTCTCCCCGCGAACAGTAACGACGTTTCCTTCCAGGAAATTATCCTAATCGCGAGTATTATTGTTTTAGAAACGCTGACAAACGAGACGGGGCAAATGGTCGCCGCCTTCGAGAAGCTCGGGCAGTTTTACGATACTTGTCGTGACTTTAAGAAGAAACCCGTAAATTTTACACCCGGTAAAAAAGAAATCCATGATGATACTCCGTCTCACAGTTTCCAACTTCTTTTATGCTATTAAAAATATTGCGCGCGTTAACGTTTTCTAGACGTCAATAAAGACCGGGCGTTCGACAAACGAACAGAGCTGAAAAATCTCCTATAACGATTGTTCTCTTATTCCAATTTCGATCAGTCGAAAGTAACATTCGATCGGTAAATCAAACGAAACGTAATTTTATGCAAATATCATACATTCATTGTGCACGGAGAGAATTTTCTTTTAAAATTGATCCTGAAGATTATATAATCGTGAGCCAATATGATAGTTTGAAGAACTTAATACGAGTTTTTGGAAATTTTACCACACATTTTACTAATAATTTTACTAGTAAAATGTATACTAAGTATAATTATTAGTGAAATGTATGATAAAATTTCACAAAACTCTCATAAAATTCTTTAAAGTGCCATGTTGTCCCACGATTTTCAGGATAAACTTTAAGAGAAAATTCTCTCCGCGCGTGTATAGTATTAATATGCTCTAGACTATAAATGAAAGTTAAGTGTATAAAATTTCTCGATAATCGTTTCGTTGCTTCAAGTTTGACAAATCCGAGAGTCCTTTCAGTTTCACCCCACACATCCCACTGATATACACACAAAGTACGCTCCGTTCGGTGATAAGGCGCAGTGTTAATATCTTTCAGTTTACGGGCTATTGGACGAACTTGGTGGTTATCTCTCGCCGAAAAGCGCGGTACCGATCGACATCACCCCTCTAATCTCCTCATTGCTGAAAGTAAACGGCGCGCCCCTCTTCGACTTATACGTCGACGTAGATCTTTACGATCGCACAAAGTCATCCGTATATCTTGATTTTCCTGCCAAGTACCAGAATTGTGAGCTTCTCGCAGAGGACCAGGTAAGGACCGTTCGGCGATCGCGCGAGCTGGCTCGAAATTTTGCGCGATAATTGGAGAAGAAAAGAGAACACGTGCCTCTAAGCTCATCTTCTAGCTTTCAGGACGCTCCCTCCTTTAACTTCTCTATGTATTTCACGTAAGCGCGCGGTGGTGCATATTTTTTTCCAGAAAAACAGAGACGTACAAAGATCGCGTAGAATTCGAGAGATCGTCCGAGGGTTCTTGCCAAAAAATATGGATCCTAACGAACAATTGTCGGAGACGGATCTACTTTTGCAGTTTTGCTTATCGCTCGAGAAGGTGAGGCCTCTATCGCTACCGTTTTGCGCGAATCAAATAGCGAGTAAAGCGCGCCCTGTTATCCCCAGATCTATCCGAAGCACAAAGACTTGTACACTTGGGTGGACGTTGAACAGAGGGTGTACATCGCTTACAACGTTACCTATCTCCAAGAAAGCTTTGGTTACGTAAGTATCAATTCGTCACTGGTACTTTTAGCCGCGAGCCGCGCAAGAGATTCCGCCACGTTCGATCGTTAGTAAGAAAGACACGGGGGCAACTCTCGTCCTGAACGATAGCCAATAGGAGCCGATTGTAAACGGTGGTCAGTTTAAACTTGAAATTTTAATCTAGATATATTTCGGCGCGTTTGACTTCTAGACACCCTCACACCTTTGACTCAGATTTCTTTCTCCGGTCGTTTAAACCTGGTCTACAATGTGCTCTTTGCGTCTAGAACCATTCTGCTTTGTAGTCAATAAATACGTTTAACCCTTTGAACATATATGTTACAATCGTGCGTCGTCGAGAAATTTTTTAAGCGCTTCGATTTGTTAACATAAAATAGAATGCTTCCAGATGCAGAGAGCACATTGTTGATTAGACTTCAATCATCGATCAGTCATCCCCTCCCTTCTCTTCTTTCGATTGATCTCTCGGTCGATCCTCCTTCTCCCAAAATAATAGAGGATTGTTTGACCCGGGACGATCCTGGGACAGATAAGATGGAGATCGCTACTGAATACCACGTTACGCTACCGCGCGAGCGGCGTCGATCTGCACGACGATAATAACGACACGAACCGCGTACACCGGCCGCCGACGTACGTCGCATCCGAGGACCAGCAGATTTACGTCTACATTACGGCTCCACGTTACTTTCGCAGCCTTGGCAAGCTACTGAGTCGCTCCTCCAGACGGTACGGATTTCCCATGTCGTTATAATTGCGCACAACTCGCATATAACAAAATTCGCGCGCGTATTCCTAGTAGCACAATATATCCGCGCAACATTGGGAAATAATGTAAATCTATTATACAATAGTATTCCCAATATTGGTCCAATATTGCAAGACGCCTTCTCTTATTTAGCCAATACGTCTATTTAGCAACATTGGTTTAATACCGTGTCAATATTAGACCAATATTCTTATTGCATTGTTAAATATTGGCCAACGCAGTTCCAACATACATCCAATATTATATAATTATTATCGTGCAATATTTATATTCAGTCCATGGCCAATATTGGCTTTACGTTGGACAATACCGGCCAATCCACTTCTAATGCAACATTTAGCCAATGCACTGTGCTACTAGGGATACCTTTGAAGCCAAGTCCTTTGCCGAACTTGAGCTCTCTTTCTTTCTCGCTCTCTCTCTCTCTCTCTTTCTCTCTCTCTGGAAATCCAGGGGTTGAGTGTCGATAACGAGACGTAAATCCGGGAAGGATCGATTGCATGATGGGCTAGTTAGGAAACCGAGAGAATCGATATTCTACGTTACACTAGGATATATGAAATTGCGAATAATATATACGTATACGTTACAATATGTGTATATTAATTAATATTTCATATAACACTAACGTTTAGTTATCACTTATTGATATTAATATATTTTCTGTTAACGTAGATAATTATATAGTCTGCTCGTGACATATATCTCGCGTATCTCGCATAATTATAACGAATTACGAAGAATGCACGTGTACTTTATATCGATTAATGTCTAATCGTAATTATGATAAATCATAAGGATTATTCATAATGGATTGCTGTTGCTTTACGCGACGGACACGTTGCATGACATCGCGAACGTCACCGCCGTCAAGGACTGGGCGGACTCCTGCTACCGACTCACCAGAAGCGTCTTCGGCGAGGCGGTCAGTGCGCTCTACGTGCGGCAGTACACTCCAAAGTACTTGGAAACTCTGGTCAACAGGGTAATACATTTCTTCCGTCGATTTTAATCTCTTTGATCAAACAAGCTCGACACGAATTTGAGACGCGAGCAACTGGTACCACGGGCAGAACGAAAAGTCATTTAAAAGTTCGGATAACATGAAAAAGTAGTCATCTCTGGAAAGTCAGCATGACATCATTTGACATTTTCGATGAAACAATTACATTTTTTATGACCATATTTTGATCTTTCCACGACTTTCGACGCCGAACGCAAATTGCTTGTGAAATGATAAAACATCTCGCAGATATTATGTTTTACGAATTTGTGAAAATATTTGATTTTTCATTTTTCATTCACAACCCAGTAAACACCAGTAACAGTTACATGACATCAATATATAACATGTTATATAACATTTACATTGTTAAGTAGGACATTATAATATTGATGTTATGTAATTATTACTTGGTGTTTACTGGGGAGCTGCAAGATAAAACAAAAGTGGTAATTATATATCGCCAGTAATTTGAAACCAAACTTCATAAGATTCAACGACCTACACTGGCCAAATTGGCCAATTGGCCAGTGTAGGTCGTTGAATCTTATGAAGTACAAAATAAAAGCTCAAGAATACAAATCTTACAAAATATCGAATATTGCATTGTACGAGTCATATTCTTGTCATGATATAATGGTATCATTTTTGTTAAAAAGAACATTTGTATCCATTATTATCATATTTAAGTCCTAACATACAATTATGCGTATCGGAAATAAATCAAGTTCAAATTTGCGAATCGTGTCAAACAGCAACTCTAAATTTCAAAATTATAATTTGATCAATTTTCTATTACGGTAAAAATATGACTTAATATTTCATTTGACGACGATCATATTTGATGTCATTATGATGTCATTTTGATGTCATTTTAACTTTATCAATTGACTTCTTGTTCCGCTCGTATCCGCCGACGTTACCCAGTCTTGCACATGCAACTCATATTTCTTGAAATATCCCATAAAAGTTTTATCGTATAAATTCTCGTCTTAATTTGAAACAATCAATGCTATCCTCCCGTAGGTGACTGCGCTATTCGAGCGTGTGAAGGAGACGATAGCCGAGCGTATACTAGTGAAGTCGTGGCTAGACGACGAGACCAGGACGCAAGCGTTGCAGAAACTCAATTCTTTGCAGGGTCGATTTCACGTGTCGCCCGATTTTTACAATGACACCTTGCTGGCACGCGATATGGCCGAGGTGAAACAAAATTGTCTTCTTTTACACGCAGATAAAATTCAACAACTGTGATATAATTAATGATGGGGGAGATAGATTATTCTCCTTTTCGTAGAAAAGAAACGTAACGATAGGACAATGTGAACTTAAAAATTTCTCTCTCCGTCGTCTTACCATCGGTGTTCATAAACAGCGTTGTCTCGTAGGTCGTAATCGACCCGGACGACTTTATCGCTACCGTCCTGAGAAGGTTCCGTCAGATACGAGGCTCGCAAGATCGAAGTCTGTTACGAAAAAACGCAATAACGAGGTGAAAGAAACTTCCATTTGAGCATTTTACTTTACAGATTTTGAATAAAGATTTTTAAGCCACGAATTGTAAGATAGAAAAAGAATTAACTTCTAACTTTGTCAAATAGTTCTCTCACAATTTCTTCTGCTCCATTTTTTTTACAAGTTTTACATTTTATTTAAATTGATTAATATCTAGATTATTGATTGATATGAGAGAGAGAGAGAGAGAGAGAGAGAGAGAGAGA